TTAACAGAAACAGCTTCGGTATGCTACGAGCAACTGAACTTGCGTACAGTCTTCGATCAAAAGGCATGCCTGCATAGAGTGCGAGGAAGTAATTGTAGACGGTATTGCCCCACAAACAGCAGCAGGATAGAAGCAACGAGAACGGAAAGGCGGTGAACCGAAACGATGAAAGCTAGTCATCGGTCGTTGCTTGGTGTGACCGCGTTTTCTTCCAGACGCCTCCGTTGTCTATAACGACAACGGCAATGGCAACGGCTAGCGGCTAAAAAGTCAGCTGAGGCATTCCGTTGAACATCTTTATGCTTTATGGCGATGATTTTGGCTGCCCAGTTTCGATTGTGATTGCGCACCAGAATCTCCAGCCATAGTCTAATAAATAAACTCCATTAAGATTTATTTCAGTTGCGGTTGCAACGATGGCGAAGAAGGCCGCGGCGATTCGACTCATGAATCTGAGAGCGAAACGACGGCTAGCCATCCCCTCACAATCCGTGTTACTGCTACTGCTGTTGTTCAGGAAATAGTCGAAGAACTCGACTGATAATGGCAAAATTTCGGTAGCTGATAAAGATAACCAGCGCACGATCGTAGCAAGCCGGTTCAGTGCCCTTTCTGCTTACATTCTCATTGCTTTCTCGCATGTAGTAACAACTTTACAGCATATGTGCGAGCTCTTTGGCACCGCTTACTATTCAGCTCATCCTGAAGAATATCATCTATAACGATCGTTGATCCTGAACTCTATCTTCGAGATACCAAGAGTTGTTTCTTACTAGGGATTAAATCGCGTGCTCTACGTTCAGTGTCCTCACATCACTAATTACAAGAATGGTAAACCTAAGTAAAAGACATATGGCTGAGAAGAAAATTTCACAAACATGGCTTAAAGCAATGGAGTTTTTTCTGTAGAAAGCTTACGTTATTAGCTGTTATAGCCTCGTTTATACGTCAAGTTTCAATATCTGTAAGGAATGCAACTTGATCAAATTTACTGACGCTACAATTAGTAAATTTTTTCTGCTACTGAAAAATTGTAAAGCTTATTTATTGATGAAGTCGAATAAGTTATGACAGCAGTTACATGTTACTAATGTTTGAAGAGACACAACTGCCGACAAAACAAACATCAAATTGCAAATGCCAGCTGGGCTGTTAAGAATTTTAGCAAGGGGTAGCAATGTTTAACATTGCGTCTCCTTCACCATATCCTTTGGTAAATTAATGGTTGTCAATTGGGAAATCTCTGTCGCGAACTAATTGTTAGTGTTTCCTTTCATCTTTGGATTGTTCTTCTTTAAGAGCCACTTGTTATATCATCTGCATCGTTCACGTATATTGTAAAAGCATATGGATTTTCATCAAGGAAATAAATCAAAATATCAACTGACCTGAAAAATGAAAGGTAGCCCTTGATAACTTTCATTAATTTTTCGATATTGTTCATATAAGCTTTATGATAATCTCCTAAAGACTTAAAACATTATCATCAAGTTCTCTGTTTGTCTATGTATTGGCAAAATTTGTGAAGCGCATTCGTTGATTAATAGAGATCCGTTGGCGATTGCATCACTAGATATAGCTAGAAATTAAACTTCACACTAGAATTCATCATCATTTTACATTTCCTTTATAATAACTGTGAGGACAAGCCAGGATTGGTCTCATACAACGGTGTCACACGAATGCATGTAAGTAATTATTTTATACGTTGTTGGGGTTATTCCGTAAATGCCCTTCCAAACGTATTAGATTTGGCTTTTATAATGCTAGTGCCAGTACTATGTACTCATCTTTTCCCTCTTGGGGTAAACTGCGGTCAAACGAAACTTCGGATTTCGTCTAATCAAACCAGCACCAGAATTGGCACCTTTATAGCGGATAGCTGCGTCGAGACATTCCTGACTAGGAAACGCTCGTTTCATCTTTGCATACGCCATGGCTCAGCTGAATGTGTAATGCACAAAGTCTTTAGCGAAATGGATTTGACTCGGTCGTCGGTAAACACATCGTCGATTGCGCCAGCTCTGCCTCGAGTTTCAAGTTAAACACCAGCCAAATGCCTGATGTTTAGCGAAAGACGTCGCCTTTAATCAAGCTTCGCAAACAGCGCTAGAGCAGTCCGAAGCTCGTCTGAAGCGGTAATAGTTACACTTTGAGTGTAATTTATTGCACATAAAACTTTAAAATTTACATAGCAATAAACAACTTTCGCCGCGCATACATTTATTAGATAGTAACAACAATGGTAATATAATAAATAAATACGCAATCTACGCAATTTTCGATCGAATAAAATAGTACGTGACAATTCGTTGTTAAGTTTGTCGTTACTGTTTTTGAAAACTGGTAAATGGAAGAATGCTTGTTTGTTTCCGGTCGTAGAGCGTCCGTCAAAGCTGGTAGAAGTGGAGACGGCAGAGTGTGTCCATTATACGACAAAAAGCTACTGACGACGACTTTCATATTCTTCTAATGGTATGTACTCTTGACTCCTCAGCGGCGGCTACTGACGGTCGGTCGGCGAGCACGCCTGCAGGTTGACCGTTGCTGCAGCCGCATACGCCGGGGCTGGGGCGGCTGTGGCTCCTGCCGGTGCGGTCATCGCCTGGACCGTCGCAGCAGGAGTTGCCAAAGCGGCTGCAGCTGCCGCGGCTGCTGCAACGCCGTTGTAATTTGGAAGCAGTCCGTAGGCAGCCGTCGTGTAGAGGTACGGCTCATACGGAGGAGTGGCCGGCGAGTACGGCGTTGTCGAGCCGAAAGCAGCCGCATTTGCCGCAGCGTTTGCATAGTCTTGGTAAATGTTGGCCGTGGTCGATGTGGACAGCGGCGAAACGGGGGGAAATATAAAGCTCGGAGAGGCTATCAATGGAGACGTCGGGTAATAAATCTGAGGTAACCTAAAGCAATGCATTCGTTACACGTGCAAACAAATTGTAATGAAGCGAAAACTCGTGCTCTGTTAATTGCACAGTGGAAGGATTCAAGTTTAAACAGAAATCGTGGGAGGGATCGGAAGCCACAGTATAAGGGTATTGTACCAGTGTGTCACTTGTAGCTGTCTAAATTTAAAGAATATTAACGTTATGCATCTTCATATGACAGAGGATATTAACAAGCGCTTAACTAATAACCAGATTTTGCAGCGTATGCACTGCTGCCTTGCTCCTAATTGCCTTAAGAGATCCGGATCTTGGCCAGTTAAGCAACTAGAAACAAGAAGGTGGTTCACTGAGCAATTAAATCATGTTTTGGAACAGTTGCTATCTTGATAACGGTAACACTCTTATGCCCAGTGCTTATCTTTTTTTTGGAATGGCAACATAACATCCGCTTGCCTGTCCTACTTTATCCATTTAGCCATACTGTGCTTGTGTTTTTGAATGCTTTGTCACCAAACTGTGACTCGAAAGTATCTGTTGGTAAACTAATCAATTGCATCAGTAATAAGCGAAAATTAGGATTCAAAGCTTACCGTTACGGAAAACAGGTTTTTTTTTAAGAAATTTCTCAAATTAATAACTAAACCGAACATTTGGTTATTGTTTCATGTTCGCCTTCACTTTACGACGCATGACGTCAAAACGAACAGCCACCTCCGTGGAAATGAATGCAAACGTTATTTGCAAGCATCAGTCCGAACAGGCTTTGCTAACGTTGCTAGTCATAAAAATCACGGCCGACTCACTCAAAGGGACGTGAGTTAAGTGAACTTAACGTCGTGACTTGAATCTACTCCTTTTTGCCTTGCAGGCCTCCTTCATAGAACATGTGCTGCAGGAGATTCCGTGATCACTGATGCTGCATTAAGGCGTAAGGATTTCACACATGAGCTATAAATTTTGAAGAAAGAAATTTCTGTGTGTAATTTATGAGTGTTATGCGATAGTTTGTATGTGAAGAGTGCGCGCTGTGCAGCGCTGGTCGCGTGGGTCATCTTTCGTAATGATTCGATCTGAGTGCAAAAGACTGACCTCAGAGTTATGTGAGGTGCAGATTTAGCAAAGCTAAACGCAGATGTTCGAAGCGAGGCAGATGAGACTGAAGTGCCCGAGAGCCAGAGATGACAAATCTTCAATAAACATAATATATAAAAGTGGAACTGCAGCTGTTGTGCTCATGTCTTTGGTTCATGTGAAGGCATGCTCAAAGCAGCGGAGGAAACAATTAACAGTTGTCCCGTTTTTGCTTCCTAACCATCGTTTCACCACGCCTTCGTCATCCCTTGGCGACCGCCGCCGCCTTACCACAAACGTCTCAGTGCAGCTGTCCATCCTCTCAGTTGCTCGGCGCTCATGCATATTGGCAGCTAGGCCAGTGGTTACTGCAACAATGCAACCGAGTAACGAGAAGGCGAGAAAATACGGCAGGGAAAAAGAATGAAGGACGAGACAGAAAATCGTCCATCGTCAGATCCGTTGAAGCGAATTGGATGTGTCAGTTTTGGTAAGATAGGGGGCAGAGGTTACACGCTTCCAACAGAGTCGCGAAATTAGAAGCAACGTGGTGTAAAATGACGTAAATGCGGTGCGAAGTTGCGAAAACGTAATACTAACACTACAAGAGAAACACAGCAAACACAGCAAATCAGAAGGAGACGATAGACGATAACAAAGAATGTTTTGTACATGCATTGCTTTTGCAAGTAGCCGTCCCACACAACTAATGACCTTAAGCGAGTAGTAAGATCTGTAGGATGCACATTCGGCAGAGTACGAATAGTACTCTGTAACATCAAAGCCACTCATCAAACCCCAGTTGCCACTTTCTTACATTAGCTTTGAAAACGAACAGACTGACTTCTACCGGTCTATGAGCGCCTGTAGATGCTCATACCACAATAGTACGCTGGGCTTTAGGCGATTTTTCGCTGTCATTAGTCACAACATCTATCATCGTCTGAAACACAACAACACTGAAACTGAGAGACAGCAGATGTTTAATAAACGGCGAAAGCTCCTAAGAGAAAACTTGCGAACTCAAGGTGGTTGAGCGCATCTCGCTTACCCTAAGCGACCCGGAAGCAATGCCGGTATGGCAGCTGAAGGTTGCAGCGCCAGCGGCAATCCTAAAGACAAAGTTAATAGATACTGGTTGCCGAATCGCCGGAACGTACAGACGGACAGACGGACAGGGCAATCTGTTGCCGAGTCGTCGCCGCCGTCACTCTTACCCAAAGGTACGTTGTTTCTTGGCTTGGCGCCCAAATAAGCCAGGTTAACGTTGGCTTTGCGGCCGTCGATTATTGGATTTGGGTCTTTGCACGCTCTCTCGGCCGAAGACCGTTCCTTCATCGTTACCTGCAAAGAACTAG